GAAACAATGTTTCATGGTTTACCCACCTTCGAGAAGCATGGCTGGGAAACAATGTTTCATGCTTTACCCACCTTCGTGAAACATGGATAGGAAACAGTGTTTCCTGGTTTGTCCACCTTCGAGAAACATGGCTAGGAAACAATGTTTCATGCTTTACCCACCTTCGAGAAACATGGCTAGGAAACAATGTTTCATGGTTTGTCCACCTTCGAGAAACATGGCTAGGAAACAATGTTTCATGGTTTACCCACCTTCGAGAAACATGGCTAGGAAACAATGTTTCATGGTTTGTCCACCTTGGAGAAACATGGCTAAGAAACAATGTTTCATGGTTTACCCACCTTCGAGAAACATGGCTAGGAAACAATGTTTCATGGTTTACCCACTTTCGAGAAACATGGCTACGAAACAATGTTTCCTGGTTTGTCCACCTTCGAGAAACATGGCTAGGAAACAATGTTTCATGGTTTACCCACCTTCGAGAAACATGGCTAAGAAACAATGTTTCATGGTTTACCCACCTTCGAGAAACATGGCTAGGAAACAATGTTTCATGGTTTACCCACCTTCGAGAAACATGGCTAGGAAACAATGTTTCATGGTTTGTCCACCTTGGAGAAACATGGCTAGGAAACAATGTTTCATGGTTTACCCACCTTCGAGAAACATGGCTAGGAAACAATGTTTCATGCATGGTTTACCCACTTTCGAGAAACATGGCTAGGAAACAATGTTTCATGGTTTACCCACTTTCGAGAAACATGGCTAGGAAACAATGTTTCATGGTTTACCCACCTTCGAGAAACATGGCTAGGAAACAATGTTTCATGCTTTACCCACCTTCGAGAAACATGGCTAGGAAACAATGTTTCATGGTTTGTCCACCTTCGAGAAACATGGCTAGGAAACAATGTTTCATGGTTTACCCACCTTCGAGAAACATGGCTAAGAAACAATGTTTCATGGTTTACCCACCTTCGAGAAACATGGCTAGGAAACAATGTTTCATGGTTTACCCACCTTCGAGAAACATGGCTAGGAAACAATGTTTCATGGTTTACCCACCTTCGAGAAACATGGCTAGGAAACAATGTTTCATGGTTTTGTCCACCTTCGAGAAACATGGCTAGGAAACAATGTTTCATGGTTTACCCACCTTCGAGAAACATGGCTAGGAAACAATGTTTCATGGTTTGTCCACCTTGGAGAAACATGGCTAAGAAACAATGTTTCATGGTTTACCCACCTTCGAGAAACATGGCTAGGAAACAATGTTTCATGGTTTACCCACTTTCGAGAAACATGGCTACGAAACAATGTTTCCTGGTTTGTCCACCTTCGAGAAACATGGCTAGGAAACAATGTTTCATGGTTTACCCACCTTCGAGAAACATGGATAGGAAACAATGTTTCATGATTTGTCCACCTTCGCGAAACATGGCTAAGAAACAGTGTTTCCTGGTTTACCCACCTTCGAGAAACATGGATAGGAAACAATGTTTCATGGTTTACCCACCTTCGCGAAACATGGCTAGGAAACAATGTTTCCTGGTTTACCCACCTTCGAGAAACATGGCTAGGAAACAATGTTTCATGGTTTGTCCAACTTCGCGAAACATGGCTCAGAAACAGTGTTTCCTGGTTTACCCACCTTCGAGAAACATGGATAGGAAACAATGTTTCATGGTTTACCCACCTTCGCGAAACATGGCTAGGAAACAATGTTTCCTGGTTTACCCACTTTCGAGAAACATGGCTAGGAAACAATGTTTCCTGGTTTGTCCACCTTCGAGAAACATGGCTAGGAAACAATGTTTCATGGTTTACCCACCTTCGAGAAACATGGCTAGGAAACAATGTTTCATGGTTTGTCCACCTTCGAGAAACATGGCTAGGAAACAATGTTTCATGGTTTACCCACCTTCGAGAAACATGGCTAGGAAACAATGTTTCATGGTTTACCCACCTTCGAGAAACATGGCTAGGAAACAATGTTTCATGGTTTGTCCACCTTCGAGAAACATGACTAAGAAACAATGTTTCATGGTTTACCCACCTTCGAGAAACATGGCTAGGAAACAATGTTTCATGGTTTACCCACTTTCGAGAAACATGGCTAGGAAACAATGTTTCCTGGATTGTCCACCTTCGAGAAACATGGCTAGGAAACAATGTTTCATGGTTTACCCACCTTCGAGAAACATGGCTAGGAAACAATGTTTCATGCTTTACCCACCTTCGAGAAACATGGCTAGGAAACAATGTTTCATGGTTTGTCCGCCGAGAAACATGGCTAGGAAACAATGTTTCATGGTTTACCCACCTTCGAGAAACATGGCTAAGAAACAATGTTTCATGGTTTACCCACCTTCGAGAAACATGGCTAGGAAACAATGTTTCATGGTTTACCCACTTTCGAGAAACATGGCTAGGAAACAATGTTTCCTGGTTTGTCCACCTTCGAGAAACATGGCTAGGAAACAATGTTTCATGGTTTACCCACCTTCGAGAAGCATGGCTGGGAAACAATGTTTCATGCTTTACCCACCTTCGTGAAACATGGATAGGAAACAGTGTTTCCTGGTTTGTCCACCTTCGAGAAACATGGCTAGGAAACAATGTTTCATGGTTTACCCACCTTCGAGAAACATGGCTAGGAAACAATGTTTCATGGTTTGTCCACCTTCGAGAAACATGGCTAGGAAACAATGTTTCATGGTTTACCCACCTTCGAGAAACATGGCTAAGAAACAATGTTTCATGGTTTACCCACCTTCGAGAAACATGGCTAGGAAACAATGTTTCATGGTTTACCCACCTTCGAGAAACATGGCTAGGAAACAATGTTTCATGCTTTACCCACCTTCGAGAAACATGGCTAGGAAACAGTGTTTCCTGGTTTGTCCACCTTCGAGAAACATTGCTAGGAAACAATGTTTCATGGTTTACCCACCTTCGAGAAACATGGCTAGGAAACAATGTTTCATGGTTTACCCACCTTCGAGAAACATGGCTAGGAAACAATGTTTCATGGTTTACCCACTTTCGAGAAACATGGCTACGAAACAATGTTTCCTGGTTTGTCCACCTTCGAGAAACATGGCTAGGAAACAATGTTTCATGGTTTACCCACCTTCGAGAAACATGGATAGGAAACAATGTTTCATGATTTGTCCACCTTCGCGAAACATGGCTAAGAAACAGTGTTTCCTGGTTCACCCACCTTCGAGAAACATGGCTAGGAAACAATGTTTCATGGTTTACCCACCTTCGCGAAACATGGCTAGGAAACAATGTTTCCTGGTTTACCCACCTTCGAGAAACATGGCTAGGAAACAATGTTTCATGGTTTGTCCAACTTCGCGAAACATGGCTCAGAAACAGTGTTTCCTGGTTTACCCACCTTCGAGAAACATGGATAGGAAACAATGTTTCATGGTTTACCCACCTTCGCGAAACATGGCTAGGAAACAATGTTTCCTGGTTTACCCACTTTCGAGAAACATGGCTAGGAAACAATGTTTCCTGGTTTGTCCACCTTCGAGAAACATGGCTAGGAAACAATGTTTCATGGTTTACCCACCTTCGAGAAACATGGCTAGGAAACAATGTTTCATGGTTTGTCCACCTTCGAGAAACATGGCTAGGAAACAATGTTTCATGGTTTACCCACCTTCGAGAAACATGGCTAGGAAACAATGTTTCATGGTTTACCCACCTTCGAGAAACATGGCTAGGAAACAATGTTTCATGGTTTGTCCACCTTGGAGAAACATGACTAAGAAACAATGTTTCATGGTTTACCCACCTTCGAGAAACATGGCTAGGAAACAATGTTTCATGGTTTACCCACTTTCGAGAAACATGGCTAGGAAACAATGTTTCCTGGATTGTCCACCTTCGAGAAACATGGCTAGGAAACAATGTTTCATGGTTTACCCACCTTCGAGAAACATGGCTAGGAAACAATGTTTCATGCTTTACCCACCTTCGAGAAACATGGCTAGGAAACAATGTTTCATGGTTTGTCCGCCGAGAAACATGGCTAGGAAACAATGTTTCATGGTTTACCCACCTTCGAGAAACATGGCTAAGAAACAATGTTTCATGGTTTACCCACCTTCGAGAAACATGGCTAGGAAACAATGTTTCATGGTTTACCCACTTTCGAGAAACATGGCTAGGAAACAATGTTTCCTGGTTTGTCCACCTTCGAGAAACATGGCTAGGAAACAATGTTTCATGGTTTACCCACCTTCGAGAAGCATGGCTGGGAAACAATGTTTCATGCTTTACCCACCTTCGTGAAACATGGATAGGAAACAGTGTTTCCTGGTTTGTCCACCTTCGAGAAACATGGCTAGGAAACAATGTTTCATGGTTTACCCACCTTCGAGAAACATGGCTAGGAAACAATGTTTCATGGTTTACCCACCTTCGAGAAACATGGCTAGGAAACAATGTTTCATGGTTTGTCCACCTTCGAGAAACATGGCTGGGAAACAATGTTTCATGGTTTACCCACCTTCGAGAAACATGGCTAGGAAACAATGTCTCATGGTTTGTCCACCTTCGAGAAACATGGCTAGGAAACAATGTTCCATGCTTTACCCACCTTCGAGAAACATGGCTAGGAAACAATGTTTCATGGTTTGTCCACCTTCGAGAAACATGGCTGGGAAACAATGTTTCATGGTTTACCCACCTTCGAGAAACATGGCTAGGAAACAATGTTTCATGGTTTGTCCACCTTCGAGAAACATGGCTAGGAAACAATGTTTCATGGTTTGTCCACCTTCGAGAAACATGACTTGGAAACAATGTTTCATGATTTACCAACGTTTTGAAAAATTCTGAAGAAAATTCTATCTTGTCTTTTATTTTATTTTAGACACCATTGGTTCACAAAAATCAACGCAGAAAAGAAAGAAGCCAATGTCATCGAAAGAAAGCCTTATGTGTAATAATAATCATCACTATTCTTATTCTTATTGTTTTCCATATCTCTGTCCATATCTTCATCCTTTTCCTCATTTTTGCCTAATCCTTATTCTCATCCTCGTTCTTATCCTCATCCTTATTGTGATCTTTAGTGTTATCGCTCACCATATCGTTGTTCTTATTCTCTTTGTTAAATTTTTATCTTTTCATCCAGGGTGCGATAATTCGTACCTGACTGGTACTCTAATTATGGTTTTTGCCGCGTACTTGAGCTGGTACGACTTAAGACTCAAGGTGTACTTAGTCTTCAAAATAAAGAACAAATAGTACAGGTTTCTGAAAGGTATTCATTGAGTAACCTCTAAAACTACGAGTCAGAACAAGGAGAACAATTGCATAGTTACACAAACCTACAGTTGACGCCAGAGCAATCATGTTTCATGCCAAGATATGTCGGAGTTGCACATACAAACTTAAATTGCGGTTTTGAATACTTTGGGGTTTGGAAAGGTCATGTGGTACCAGCAAAATGTAAGTACGCAGATAGCAAGAGTTCCGCGTACCTACGTGGTACTTGCATGGTTGAAAACAAAGAAGTACCAGACCGTAATACTGGTGTACTTCCGGTACGAACGTACGCGAATTATCGCACTCTGTCATCCTTATCCCTGTCCTCATTTTTATTGTTATTGTTGTTATTTTTATTAGTACCATAACTTTGCTTGGTTGTAGGCAACTATCAAAATCTTCATTTTGTGTTTTTTTCCTTTCATAACAAAAAAGCCAACAAAGTTCCAATACTGGAAAAGCGTGTTAAATCTGTCGGCATGATTGCTTTGAAAAACAAAGATGACGATGAACCAACCTACACAGGTACAGGTTGGCTTGTTGCCAAGGAAGAAAATGAATCTTATATAATGACTAACTATCATGTGATTTCCGCGATCAAGCAACGCAGACGTCAAACACACCGGACGCGATTCGACAACGCGACGCGATTTTTCGATTTTCACTGACCGATAACTTTGATCCTAGTTTAAATTTTCCAAATATTTAGAAGCGCTATAACATTTTGAGTTATTTGGTCTACATATCTTTCAAAATTTGGTTTCATTGGCTGTTTTATTAACTTTCAGAAACTAAAAAATCGCGTCGCGTTGCCGAATCGCGTCCGGTGTTTCTGGACCTTAACGCCTGATTCCACGACGGCGAAATTCTTCGCGCGAAACTGTGTTTGCGAAATACGGATGGTTGCACATGAGAGATTCTATTGAATTTTTCCGCTTTCGCAGTGAGTAGAACTGACTTCTACTCACTGGCAAAGCGAAATTTTTTCTCACGAAGCCTAGTTTATCTTTACTGCGCAATAGTGCGCATGTACCTAATTCATTTCGCGCGAAATATTTCGCCGAAGAAAGCACCGGTGGAATCAGGCTTTAAATGGAATCAGGCCTTGTCATTTGTTTCGCCTCTGGTTATTCCGGCTGTTGCAATAGTTGGTCAACTACACGTACCATCACATAGATGTTTATTAAGAGGCAAAAGCCCATAGGCAAAATAGGAAACATTTGAAAATCTTGAAGTTTTCTTGAATGTTTCGCTGTTTATCCAGCTTTGGAAACCGTTCTCACGAAGCAAACATATTTCCCAATAATTCAGAAACATATTTTGTTTCTCTATGTGATTTTTTTAGCGAAACAATTTTTCTTGTTTGTCCACTTTCGAGAAGAAGACTGTATATAGGAGACCAGGGCCGTAACTAGAAGCGATAATTGGGGTATTCATATACTCGTGCTCTGCCCGATGGAATTTTTGAAAGCGATTGTTTTTACAGTATGTGAACATGATTATATTCACCCCAAATATCGCGTCTAGTTACGGCCCTGTAGGAGACATGGTTCCCTGGTTTGCTCACCTTGGAAAGAAGGCTACTGTAGGAAATAATGTTTCCTGGTTTGCCCACCTCCGGGAAACATGGCTAGGAAACAATGCTTCCTGGTTTACCCATCTTTGGGAAACATGGTTAAGAAACATTGTTTCATGGTTTACCCACCTTCGAGAAACATGGCTTGGAAACAATGTTTCCTGGTTTACCAGCCTTTTGAAATAAAAAAGTTTCTGAAGAAAATTCTATCTTATCTTTTATTATAGTCACCATTGGTTCACAAAAACCAACACAGAAAAGAAAGAAGAAGCGAAAAAGATTATCAAGCACAAATCCCCGACGATTGTCATCGAAAGGAAGCCCTGGTGGAAATAATAAGTCCCATGCAGCGCCTGTCAAAATGTGTGGATCTTGTAAAGATGAAACACCGCTTTCAAGTGACCGGGACAAATGGCCCATTGATAAAATCGAAATTGGCTGTTTTCACCAAATTTGCAAACTACTCGACTTAGCTGTTCGTAGCAAGGAACCACTAATGAACGGTTTAGGTGGCTTCGACCAAACAACTGCTGCATGTATTAAAACAAAATATGAAACAAGGGGAGGATCGGGGACTGCCGAAGAAGTACTCTCTAAGTGGGGATCAAGAAATCAAGAAAATAATAATGTGGGGGCTCTTAAGAAGATTCTTAAAGATACCATGCAAAGGGATGATGTTGTTGACAAGATTGAAAAATGGGAGAAGTTGTCTGTTTGTCATGGATGCGGTATTAAATTTAAAAAGCCACACTAATCTCAATAGCACTACTGAATGGAAATCATATTTCTATAAATATTAAGTGTACAAATTTAATAACCATTTTGCCTATTGCAGATATAATGGCCAAATTAAAGCTCATGCATTTATGTGTTTGTACAGACAGATAAATAACATGGTAATTTAGGATATTAATTGTTATTTTATTTATTTATTTATTTATTTATTTAGTAAGTTAATTCTGTAATTTTTCTATTCCTTGTGCTAAATGGTATTAATACATTGATTCATTTAATTTGCAAAAATCATTTAGTTTTGCCTAACATAACTTTATGACTTCTATATGATTAACAGCAATTGCACCTAATTATAAAATTAACTACTACCACTAATATGTCAACATTATGTATTCTTAATCCTTTTAGAGACAGTGTATATAGTATTTTAATATTCTTAGATTAATGTTCTAAGATTAATATTCTTAGATTAATATTCTTCCTTTTAGAGACATTTAGTGTATAGTATTTTAATATTTTCTTAACTTGTAAATATAAGCGTAATTCAGCCTATTGGCTGCAATGTTTTTATGTAAATAAATATAACATCTATCTACAGGGTGTATCAGAAAAAAAGTAGACAATCTTGAAGCGGCTCTCAATTTCACAAATCTGTTCGTGTCATGAAATTTTTGATAAATATAGATTGTTTGAGTACTTATAATGTAGAATAAACAAAGCAATTTCGTAAAGATAAATTTTCCAGAGCAGGGGGGTGTCCTTTTTAGCAGCATTAAAAATAGCTTGCGCGCAAAATTTAAATGCTGTACGCATCTTGAGTTCATGGGCGAAAAAAGGGGTTATGTGTTTTATTAATGGTCTATAATGTTTTTACAATCACAAAATACAAATTAGGTAAAGCATGAATTATGCATGCATGAAAGGCATTGGTGCGAAAAAATGAAAGTTTCAGCAGCTATTTGAAGGACTTAAAATTGTGCAAATTTTCTGATATTTGGACCATTGATAAAGCGCATAACAATGTTCTCGCCCATGAACTCAAAATGCGTTTTAACCTATTGAATTCCGCGCGGTAAAACTAAACTATTGCCATTTCGGAAATTCTACACATTTGGTGAATTTCGATTCCTAAAGGCCCCTTTTAGATTCGCAAATTTTTGCTGCGATTTTAAGTGCGATTTCCTTCTTCTGATGGATGTGGATGAGTTATGAATGTTGAGCGGAGGGTACATATACTCAGAACATTCATAACTCATCTACTCATTCACATCCATCAGAAAACCACAGAATCTAATCTTGAAGTGTCTGTGTCAGTGTAGGTAGTGGCAATAATATGAACAAGCTTTCGTTGGTAGGGATGCAACTACCTGAAAAATATAAGGAGAATTTCGACGTTTCCAGCGAAGGTCCTTGGTCTGGAGTTACTAACCAAACTCCCGACGTAGCGCCTTCGCTCGAAACGTCGAAATTCTCCTTATATTTTTCAGGTAGTTGCATCCCTATCATGAACGAAAGCTTGTTTACAGAATCTAATCGCTCTTTAATAACCAATGAGGTCAATTCCACGTTTTTAATTAATTAATTCAGATACAATTTAATTCTCAGATGGTAGTTTTTATAATACCTCTAAACGCTTTTCTGTTATACTGGTAACATTCCCTGATATGACCACGAATTCTACGCAATGAATTAATTATCGAGCCTTCACTCAAAACGTCGAAATTCTCCTTGTATTTTTCAGGAAGTTGTATCCCTATCAACCCAAGTTTTGTTATTATTGATGCTAACGTACACAGTACACTGGCAAAGACCGTTCAAAATAATATATGCATCCTTGCACGTCCCTAACATACTTACTTTGTGAAATGAATAAATGTTTGGAGCAATGGTATTGTTTCTTTTATGAATCTAGAACTATGAATTGAATTTTTGGTGGCTGTTTTTGCATTATTAATATGGCATTGCTTCTGTATAGTTTTCCTTGGTTGTGTGGAGCGTATAGGCTGGTTGGTCGAAACAAAAAGATCCCTCGTCCACATTTGTACCTCACAGTTAAAAGAGGAGTGAAGATATCGTTTGTACGACGTGAACTTGAAGAGAAATTCAAGTGTGACGACGCTAAGGAACACTTTGAACTCCTTCGAGAACCTGAAAGAAAACCACAAATTAAATATTTGGGTCTTCTTTTAAGTAAATTGAGATGTAAATCATCTTCTGTCTCAGCAGCACCTGGTGGTGGTGTATTAGCTTGCAGTAACCCCAATTACACCATGCAATAAAAACCCTTTAGATGAAAGATGATGTACCTCAGGTCTAGGGAACTGGGACTTTAACCATGTTTTGCGCCCTCAATGGACAACATTAAACACTCACTTTCATGTTGGTTGTGCAACTGATGAAAACCGTTTAAACGCGGCTTTCAATAAAGTAGATGTTCAGAAGATGCGCAATGCACTTATGAAAGTTATGCAAAGAAACAGCAATATTATTTTACACAAGGCAATACAGAGAACAACAATGAGCCCATCTTATTTGGAGACGATGGAACGGACTGCACGCGTCTTGGTGGTTTTGACAATTATCATTTTGACAACGAATGTGACATTTTGTCTCTAAAAGTTTTGGATGGCGTTAAAATTAATTGGAAAATAGCGGATGCAACTTCTCCTGATTGGGATAGTATATGGGATGAATTGTATGAGAGTGATAGTAATCCAGTGGAAGTGGAGAAAATCGTTTTTTCGTCGGCGTTAACCCGTGGTTATATTGTTCCTTGTGATTTTAGTTAAATCCAAGAACAGGAGCCATTATTCCAGGATGCATTCGCCGTTAAGGGATGTAGTGGTCCATTCTTGGAAGGCGGTGACTCAGGTTCTCTCGTTTTCTTTCATGACAAGAATAACCAGAATCAGGTGTTTGCCTATGGTGTTTGCGAAGTGAAGCAATATTTTCAGACGAACTAGACCCTTTTGAAAAAGCTGCATCTGTCTGCTTTCTCATATCTTCTCACATTCTCGACAGTCCATTTTATAAAAGTCAGAACAGGCAGGGGTGGCACTAAAGGGGGGTGTGGGGGCGGGGGGTGTAAACACCTCCAAGTCGTCAGGTAGTCGGCAAATTATCTAATCCCAGTTGGATAGGAAGGAAAGAAACTAAAATATTTGAGTGACACTGATTACAAACTAATAATTGTAGCTAAAATTTAGAGAAATGTACGAAAAAATTGAGGAAAATTATAGGCATAACTGTGCGAGGAAAAGACCCTCATTGAGACTTGGCCCCAGTAGTTGCAATTTCTTAAAAATATGCCTTGATTGGAGAAGAAATGGCTACATTTTTCATTTTCACTTCTGAGTGATTGAAATGAGTGAGTTCACAACATATCGAATGTCATGTGAGTACTAAGTACTTCCCTGTGGTTTGGAAAACAAGGTTGAAACGATGCCGAAGTGAAAGCAGAATATCAGCGTGTGTAAACAAAAAGGTAAGAGTTTTATTATGTTATAAAGTCCACTAGGCCTGTCCTTTCATATGATCCAGTTAAAACCTCCCAAATAGTTGCTAATGAGGGTAACTTTTTCGATTGATTGTGTTGTGCACAAATATGAACGTTTAGTTTTTAGACGTATTCCACATTGACACTTTGACAGTTTAATTAACCTATGAAATGCTTAGCTCTATAAAATCCAGTGAAAAATATTAGATAGTATTGTAGCTGTTGCTTTATTCCAATATAAAACACATATAAAATTTTAAACACATACAAAATGCAATTTCAAAATCAGCGATCAGCCTGATGATTGGGAAAATTTTAAACAAATATATAATTAACCCATTAAGCGCCTGCGCTTTTCCCTTGACCAGCATTAAAACTTGCCTGGCATTGAACAGACTAAAATAATAAAGTAGGATGCAATACGACTCTATGCATTGCAACCTCGTACCCAGGGACGAGGTTGTGACTCAATGATGCACACCCCCAAGCTGCTCCATTTATTGTTTGGAGTACTCTGGATTTTTGGAACACTAATGGGATGGAACAGAAGACAGTCACATGACTGTTCTGAACTGTTTTGACTACTCCAATTTTTGAGTAGGGCCAGCCAGAGGGGGACATTGGGATTTACGGTATGGCGGTATTCGCTTATTTTTCTTACGGTATTTCGGTATTTTCCTTGAAAAATTGCGGTATTACGATTTTGGAAATATTGCGGTACACGGTATTTGCAATTTTGGACTAAAAACTGCGGTAATTGACAACATTTGCTTGCGGTATCACGGTATTGAATACCCCCCAATGCCCCCCTCCAGCCACAACAGACACGTAACACTGCCCATTTTCATGTGATTGGAAATGGAGGCGACAGATTTTGTGTATCCAATGCACAATGCATAGAGTATTATTTTGAAGGGTTAACCGCTATATATCAACATATACTTATTATATGCTATTTGAATGCCAGGGTTGGGCAAAATCAACTAGTAAAAACATTACAAAAGCATACTTAGATATACTGTAGAAAAAACAGCAAATCATTGTACAATTTATTATGTGAATAACCAATGAATATAGTAATGCATGATTGCACACATATATAATAAACTAAACACTGTTCCAGGACACCGTGTGCACTCCATTTTATATTGTTCCAGAACAGTGTTCCAAATGTTCTAGAACAGTAAATGGAGCAGGCTGCCGAGCGCCATGCGCGAGCTAGGGGTAAAAATGTTTGGTACAATTGCAGAAAACCCTGCCACATATATTTCTACTGTGTAGAAAATAAATAAATACCCACACAGAGCTAGACTTGCTCCAAATCTTTCTTTCATTGTCATATAGTATCTATCCACTATAGTGTACATTACATGACGTACGAGCAGGGCTGCCCAGAGGTTGGCGGGGGCCCGGGGCAAATTTTTTTTTAGGGGCCCCTATCTAAAAAAATTTTCGGTCAGTGTACCATTTTAGGGGTAATAAATTTTGCCGGACAAGTACGTTGCAAATGCTTTCGAGGGACTTTATCTCATTTTTTTATGCCAAAATTCGGTACTTAGCCCAAGAAAACAGATATCTTGTCCTTTGTGCAGAAATATTTAACACACAAAAAAGGCTGGGGCCCTACAAAAAATTTTCAGGGGCCCCCAGCAACTCGGGGCCCGGGGCAATTTGCCCCCTTTGCCCCCCCCCCCCCTCTGGGCGGCCCTGCGTACGAGCACGGAGAGGCGGAGCGAGAAAGAGAGACTTGTCAACTTCGGAAAATCTCGGTTCAAAACTGAACCGAAAATGCAAGACTTGCTTTAATTGTTTTCCTTCAATTTCTTTTTGTATTATTTACTATAATGGAACTCATGTTATTTACACTGTGCTAGATCAACACATACAATAAACACTGACAGAAAACAATTAAAGCAAGTCTAGCATTTTCGGTTCAGTTTTGAACCAAGATTTTCCGAAGTTGACAAGTCCCTCTTTCTCGCTCTGTCTCTCCATGCTACGTAATGTAATGTTACACTATAGTGGATCGATATGACAATGAAAGAGAGACTTGGAGCAAGTCTAACACATAGCCTGGTCCACTGTGGTTATACGTCACTACGCCAAGTGTTGCAAATCTGCATTCAAAGTTCATAAGATTGAACATCACATGGTTTAAAAAAATACCTATGGCTACAAAAACAGTTGGTAGAATATTTCTACGGACAGGCCTTACAATATCGGTCGGTCACGGACATTGTCCGACCCATTTGTGAAATTGTCCGATGTAGAGAGGAAACCACCGGACATTCTGTCCGACCAAAGTGAAACTGAGGTTTATTGTTTGTCCGACCCAAGTGAATTGGTGTCCGACCGAACTGTAGCTTTGTCCGACGTAAATCAAAATGTACCCTAGCCCAGGACTAGAGGCTTGTATGTTAAGTGGAAAATGGCCCTGTAAAAGATATTTTAAGGCCTGACGGACACGGTAACACAATGAAATTTTATTGAATTTTAAACTTTTCTAGTCATTTTTGTACCTATTAATAATAATAATTCACTTTATTTTCATTGGTGACTGGATTTACACGAAGTAATTTTCGTCCAGACGCAACATTTTGAAACTATTTACATATACATGGACATCACACACAATAACATATATCTCAGACTATAGTCTTGACATAAATAACTATAACCTAAGTACCTATTCTAATTGGTATTTACAATTTACTGAAATATTTACATTATATATACAGTCTGCAACTAAGTTACAATTTAAGTTATTAATTTTTAATTATTATTATTTAAGTAGTTATTATTATAATTAAATATATTAGTTATTTATTAATTAGTTATTAGTTATAATTAGGTTATGAATCAATAGTTTCAGCTAGTTTAGAAAATGCCATATTTAAATAGGCATTTCTAAATTGAGAAAGTGTTGATGCATTATGTATGTCTACGTCTAAGGAGTTCCAATCACTAGCAGCAAGAAAAGAAAAAGAGTGTTTACCAAAATTGGTGCTTACTCTAGGCAGTACTAGATTATTAACCATGCTGCTCTTTTCTGAAATTTTAAAATTTTGTCTAAGTTCTTGCGACAGGTGTTTCCCCAGACAACACATGATTATTGTGGATGATTATATGAAGAGTTCTCAGCCTGGGCTTAATTTTATCCTAGTTAACCGAGCTGAAATTGTTTCACGATTACATGAGTTCAAATTTCAGCTTAATTTATGTCCTAAATGGCCATGTCGTCCAGTGCCAGTGTCACAGCGGATTTGGACCCCCCCCCCCAGTAGATTTGGACCCCCAGTCCAAATCTCCTAGTAGATATGGACCCCCCTGTCCAAATCTCCTAGTAGATATGGACCCCCCGGTCCAAATCTCCTAGTAGATATGAACCCCCCCGGTCCAAATCTCCTAGTAGATATGGAACCCTGGTCCAAATCTCCTAGTAGATATGGACCCCCGGTTCAAATCTCCTAGTAGATATGAACCCCCCGGTCCAAATCTCCTAGTACTGTAGATATGGACCCCCGTTAGTGGATATGGACCCCCTTTTTAAAACAGTTTAAAAACTACAATAATCCCCAATAACAGGGCCGCCCAGAGGTTGGCGGGGGCCCGGGGCAAATTTTTTTTAGGGTCCCCTATCTAAAAAAATGTTGGTACAAAAAAATGTTTGGTACAATTGCAGAAAACCCTGCCACATATATTTCTACTGTGTAGAAAATAAATAAATACCCACACAGAGCTAGACTTGCTCCAAATCTTTCTTTCATTGTCATATAGTATCTATCCACTATAGTATACATTACATGACGTACGAGCAGGGCTGCCCAGAGGTTGGCGGGGGCCCGGGGCAAATTTTTTTTTAGGGGCCCCTATCTAAAAAAATTTTCGGTCAGTGTACCATTTTAGGGGTAATAAATTTTGCCGGACGAGTACGTTGCAAATGCTTTCGAGGGACTTTATCTCATTTTTTTATGCCAAAATTCGGTACTAAGCCCAAGAAAACAGATATCTTGTCCTTTGCGCGGAAATATTTAACACACAAAAAAGGCTGGGGCGCTACAAAAATTTTTCAGGGGCCCCTAGCAACTCGGGGCCCGGGGCAATTTGCCCCCTTTGCCCCCCTCCCCCCTCTGGGCGGCCCTGCCCAATAATGGTAAATACATTAAATTCATTAGTTTTCAGATACCTGGAGCTACTTATCAACCACACTTAGTTATTTATTGTGAGTAGAAAACAGTGTTTTTTTATTGCCAGTGAGCGAGATCCAAATTCAAAAATCTTAGACTACAAATAAACTAGAAAGGTCCAAATGGAAAGTATGAATACAAGGATAAATAAACTCAGTAAAAACTCATGAGTCACATGCACCATCACTTATTATTTAAAAATATTCATGGCATCGCGTTGCTCTAATATGCTGTTTCTATGGTTTTTGTAAAAACCATTAGTTGATAGTCGCAGGCTTCCATTTAGATGAGTTACCATCACTTATTGTTTAAAAACATTCATGAAAATCGTGTTTCGTGTCGATCCAAATGCTGCCTATATGCAATTTCGATCGCGTTTGTTAAAAGCCATTAGCAGAATCGTTATTGGCAAATACATAAATTTTAGTCACACTGTGTTCTATTTTTCTATTTTACGTTTTGTGGCCTTTATCACAAATATTTAAAGTGTAAAATACTTCACATTGATCGCTATTACAGTATGAATTTGGTTTATACTATTGTGTTCACATTACATATATTTAACTTTTGAAGGGGGTTCCAAATCCGCCAACTGGGGTCTGTATTTACTAGTAGATTTGTACCCCTGGGGGTCCATATCCACTAGTGGATTTGGACCTGGGGATCCAAATCTACTGGTGGATATGGACCAGGGGTCCAAATCTACGGGGGTCCAAATCAACTGGGACACCAGTACTGACGAGCGTTCAAGTACGACGAAAACGTACAGCAATCGCATCAACTACAGGGCATTTTTTAACTATATAACTGGGGGGGGGGGAGGGGCAAAGCCCCAGCCCCCCTGGTGCCCCCCCACTCAACCATTTTGCCCCCCCCCCCCCAGTCAAAGTCCCTTTTCTCTAAAATATAAGCAAAACAGCAGGCCTTAAAATATATTTTACAGGGCTGTCTGACAAAATGTCCGGTGACGTTGAGTTTGGGTCGGACATATGTCCGATAACCTTCAG